CACACACACACACACACACACACACACACACACACACCAGGAGCTGGTGGGCAGCCCCCTGATGCCAGAGGTGGCACCCCTGCCCCAGGCTGGCACTGGGCCAGTGGGGGTGTCTCTCCTACAGCCCCTCCCTGAGTGGGCTCCACAAGTGACGGCCTAGCCTGTTCCACCCCACAGGTGACATTCCTCCAAGGTGACGGGGCTGGACTGTGGCCTGCAGGGTTCCCGCCTCCACCCACGGTGAGGAGCTCTCTTCAAACGCCCTTGAAGGGGTTTCGGCTCCACCAGGAGTTCCTGGGCGGGGCCGTCGCATCCCTCCCAGAGGACTTGCTGGGAAGAAATGGACACCTGAGAGCTGTGTTCCAGAGGCCTGCCACCCTCGTTAAGACCTCCTTCCAGGCTGGTAAAGGGGTCTGGGTCTAGGAAGGGCATGTGTCATACTGTTCCATCTCCAGGCAGGTTCATGAGGGTGGCACAAGGACACACCGCCCAGTGGCCAGCACTCAAGTCCTTACACCCTCTGGAGGGCATAGGCTGTCTCCTCCTTCAGACAAAGACTCGAGGCCTGAGAGCATAGGGGGAGGAGGGCACAGAACTCTGACCTTGGCCAGGCCTCTGACCTTCTCCAGCCCAGACCCTCCTGGGCTCGTTCCCAGGGAAGACACTGGGTGGGGCCTGGCCGCCAAGCAGCCTGTGTGGAGATGAGAGAAAGCAAGGAGGGGTGAGGCCTTGCTGTGTGTGGAACACTGGATGGGCCTGAAATAAGCTGCATTGGAGTGAGCGGTCCCCACCTCCCCCTCTCCCACCCTCAGAGGTTGGTGCCCCCCATCTGTGGTCACCACACAGAGCCAGGCAGCATCGTCATTTCATTTTTACTACTTCACATTTTCGGCAAACAAATCAAGGTGCAAACAGGGTTTATTTCACATTAATATATTAACTGGATTTTTGTCAAATAAATAGGAGTTCTCTTTAAATAACCATCTTCTCCCATCAGGGCCAGGCCAGGAGCGCATGAGAGCAAATTTTAGTGCATTAGGCATTTGGGTGCCATCAACCAGGCAGGAAGTAAACAGGGAGGGGGCAGGTGGGGCCCCCCGGGACATGGAGGGTGGACATGCACCCCACTTCCAGTCCCTGATGCCCCTTCCAGAGGAAGAGAGATGAGAAAAGGCAAGAGAAAGATTCCAGTCTCTTGACCCAGGGAGCTGCAGGCCCTCCTACCAGCGCCAAGGCCTGGGGCTGATGCCACCCAAGTCCCAGAGCTCCCTGTAAAACACTCTACAAGTTGGAGTGGCCAGGGTGACCAAGGATGGGAAAGAAAGTAGCAAAGTGACCAGGGCCTGGCCTAGGCTGGGAACGGAATGTGGGTCAACAGGAAGACACTGGGGTGGGACCTCAGCTTCTCTGGGAAGTGACAGGGCAGTGGAAGGAATGTGGGTCTGGCTTAACGGCCCCGTGGGGAAGAAGCTGGAGTCCCCTGCAGGCCTGGAAGACACAGGGCAGTGCTGGCCCATCAAGCTCAGGAGGTGAGAGGCAGCGGGCAGGAAGTGGCTACCAAGAGAAAAGTGGACTGAAGTGGAGAAGGTGACCAGAGTTGCTCCCTGGGAAGAAGCTACTTGAGAGAAACAGGAAGTAGTGGGGACACCCCAAGTTCCTGAGGCGAGCCCAAGAGATGGAGAAAGAAGCTCAGCTGACAGTGTCCGTGGGCTCTGGGCTAACGTGGGAAGCTGGAGACGACTCCTCACAGACAACACTATGCACTTCTGTTTATCATCCAACTGAGAGGAAGAACAGGGCCCTTCCCATGCCGCCCCGTCCCCAGACCTGGCCCCAGGGAAGGGGAGCTGTGGGAGGCTGGGTGTTGTGAGAAGGTCTACTGGGTCTTCTTGTCTTCAGGGGGGTAGTATGGAGGTGGTGGAGGCTGGCTCTGAAAAAGAGAGGTCACATTAGAAGGTTCAAAATGAGGTTCTTCCCTGTCCCTAAACTGCAGCCAATATGGGCACAGGGCCACCAAGACCTGCCCCGCACTGCCCCGCACTCACCGTGGGCATGTAGACGTTGTGTGGGTTGCCCGGGTTGTAGTAGGCGCTGGCAGCTGCTTCTGCGGCCTTGGCTTCAGCTGTGTGAGAACAAGCCCCGAGGGCAGTTAAGCCAGCGGCGAGGCCCTCCCCTGCCCCCCTCCACCAGCACGAAGGATCCACCCTACTCCTGGCCTCCGAGTTCATGAGCGTGAATGTCCCCAGTGCTGACCACGTGCTGAGCCTGACCTCCCTGATGCGCACCACACGCCACGCACTGCAGGGTGGGGATTGTTAACCACCAGTTACCGCCACATCGCCTTGGACTTGGTGGTCTCCAGGCACGGATTTTTCAGAAGCAGGCTGCCAGGCCTCTCTCCCAGGGAACCTACGCTTCTGACCTTTTGGCTAGCATCTGAGAATTAACCTTTCGTACTAACCTGCGACACCAGAAACTGTCACCATCTATTTTATAGATGAGAAAACGGAGACAGAGCAGGGCAACTAAGAGTGTGGCGTGGACTCTCGTCCCTCACCTGATCCTGTGTCCTGACCCTAAGCTCATCCTATGGGACTCCCGCCAGCCTCTGGTCACTGAGGCCCTCTATGCATCTATGGGGAAGAGAGGGCCTGTTCTGGGAGTGGAGGCACGAACCAGCACTCCACAGCCTTACCTGCAGGGGTGGAGGGGACGTCAGGGCCGCTGACTGGGGGCTCCATGGGTCCAGGGTAGGGCGGTGGTGGGGGCTGCACATACCCCATGGCCCCGTCCATCATAGGAGCGCCTGGATAGAAGTCTGCTAGGCAAGAGTGACAGGGACTTGGTGAGCAGCGGCCAGCTCCCCGGGAGGCTGTCCCCTGGAGCCGCACGTGGCCCAGCTCCTCAGCCAGCCCCTCTGAGGCCTAGCAGCATGTGTTATCCCTGAAGCAGGTCAAAGGACAAGTGTCCCTTGACAAGCCCCTGGCCTGGTGTGGGCAGTCGGTGGGTGGGGTGAGGGGTGGGCAGTAGAGGACACTCACCAGGTGGGGGCGGTGGATAGGGGTAGCCAGGAGGGCAGGGGTACATTCCATTGGCGACGGGCGGGGGAAAGACATAGCCCCCGCTGGGCACGTAAGAGTACCCATAGGCTCCATTGGGGACTTCACCTCGGGAGGCTATAAGCACAAGGGGAGAGATGTGTGAGCGTCACCTACCTCGGGGCGGGGAGGGGGCAGGGTCTGCAGTGTGTACAGTCATGACCCTCAGCCCACCCACCCCACTCCCACCTAGGCCAGAGACTGGGGAAAGGGTCCACGGCAGGGGGTATGGAGGAGTCCAGGGAAGGGGTGCAGGGTAGACAGAGGAGTCTAGGGGAGGGAATGGAGGATGGATAAGGGGTACAGGGTGGATGGAGGGGTGCAGGGTGGGGTACAGGGTAGAAGGACGAATGCAGGAGTGGAACGCAGGGTGGATTGGAGGGGTGCAGGGGAGATAGAGAGACCCAGGGTGAGGGTGCTGGGTAAATGGAGGAGTCCAAGAGAGAGGTGCAGGGTGGGATGGAGGGGCCCAACATGGATGGAGGGGTCCAGGGCAGGGGTGTAGAAAGGACAGGCGTCCAGGGCAGAGGTGGACAGGTGTCCCGGGTAGGGGTAGAGGGTGGACAAAGTTTTGTGGGTTAGAGAGGATGGACTGAAGGGTCCAGGGGAAGGGTGGGAGGAGCTGGGATGAGGTGAGGGTGTTTGCTGAGCACGTCTGTGTGTTTTGTTTCATAGTCCAAGGTCTTGTGAAAACGTCCTTCGTGCCCTGCTCCAGGGAAGAGGGGCCTAGCCTTTGAGGTAGTGGACAGAGTTACAGGTTCCCTTCCAACTCCCAGCCCTGGTCAGCCCTGGACCCTGAGACAGTATCTTAAAAAACAAAAAAGAAAAAAATCTGAAGAAATAACAAACAAAAACCAAAATTCAACAAAAAAAAATCTGAATAAATAACAAACTTAAACAAACAAATCAATCCGTCTGCACATTGGGGGGGTTGTTCCTGGCCCCCAATCTTCAGTCTTTATACCTTGAGAGGCCACCTGCAGCATTCGCTGTCCGAACTCAATGGCGCCTCCTGCTGAAAAGGTCAGTCTGTAGGAAGCAGAGCCTTCCCAGCCACCTGAGGGGAGAAGAGCGAAGAGCTGCTCAGAGGAAGAAAGTCGGTTATGCCCGCGGAGTTGCCCACTAGGACCCCTCCAACACCCAGAGGCTGCACGTGAAAGCTGACTGGCAGCGGGTGGACTTCTCCCGGCCCCTCGCCAGGCCACGCTGGGCCCGCTGCTGAGCTGCCCGCCACTCCAGCCGATCCTTTGGTGCAGGAGCTTTTATTTTTTGGAACAGGCTTGTGCTC